TTCATTGAAATTATCAAAGTTCTTAGCCAAAAGGCATGTCATCAGATACAAAATATATGTATATTCAGGTTCCTATTTATACAAATGTCACCATACTCACTCCTTATATATTTAACCATCAATGTGTTAATAATAATAAAGGAGTTACCATACAGCTTTCTTTTACTCCCTGCTCAATGCTGAACCGTTCACTAAGCATTTAGTTTACTCTCACATAAGCTTTCCTTCCAGCAACCAACCTTCACGCTTGTGAAAAACATCCTGTAATTCAAGCCTGCTCGTTGTCAGATGCTTTCTCTAAAATCAACTATTTAAAAATTAACTATTTTGTATAAAAAATAATTATTTTTCACAGCTGTCTTCACCTTATGGATTCCTAGGTTTACTTGCACCCACAAACAGTGTAGAGACTTTTCAGTTCATACGTTACTAAATTTTAGTCTTGTCTTTCCTAATTAAATGTGCATCTTTATTTCCCAACATTCATTCACCCTACTTTGCAAGAGCAGACCATCTATTGCTTCCTTTATGTTTCTTTTAGTTTCACAGACATACAGCCTATTTTTCTTTCCTTTCTTTCCTTTATTAATTCATGCTCTTTACATTTACTCCTCTTACTTTCCATGTTTTAATCTTCCAAGGTCAGGAACAAATGGGCCCACAAATATTGATCACTACTGCCATTAGGGTTTTGATCAATCTAACAGTCCAGGGGTGTCAAACTGCCGGCCCGCGGGCCGAATGCATCATACGAAGGACACGCCAATCCCACCTCTGGCTATGCAAAAAAAAAGTTGCAATATATCGCGACAAGTCACGTGACATGGCGAGTTGGACACCCATGATCTAACCCATCCCATGATGCTTTTTTTTTTCATAAGGCAAGAATTGCATAGGCTAGGTTCATCATACTTGGTCACAGCCATGTCACATGTTTCACTCCCTGTTAACAGTAAAGACATTACCAGTTTGGGCACACTTTTGGCCAGTTTGGCATAATTGTAATCAAAACCCAGTTTTACCTCAAGCATGCTCCAACTATTCTAGGCAGACTAGGATCTATCATCCTGAGGCAGACTTGCAAACCAACATACTGTGGCCCACATCCCTCCAACTCAGAAGTACATGTAACATACTGACATGGTCAACCTGCGCGTTAATTTCAGAGAAAAATATATTCACAGGACTATAATAAATAAATATCCATCTTTCATTAGCTTCTCAAATCTTCTTGCCTTGAAACCTCTGAGATATATCAACAAAAAAACACATCTCCTGTTTATAATATACACATGCATTATGTGTATCAGTGTGTATTTAGCTGTAGAATTTTCATTAAAATTGAAGTGTGGAATCTCTTCCATCATTTCTGATTTTAACCACTTTTCTTTACTCTAAACTTTTTTTATTCAGGAAAGAATTACATTAGATCATGCTTAGACTTGCAGGTTTCCATCTATTTCAAGGTTAACATGCAAACAATGCTTTTAAAAGAAAAATGAAATTTATTTTGACTGAGGCAGTACAGAAATAAGAATGAAGGACTTGCTTGAATACTTTACAGGTCTCTGGAAAGAAATTTCAATATGACATATTCTTTGTCCTTTAAAAAAAAAAAAAAAAGCTGATACGCCTCAATCAGCCAAAGCTTGACCCTGAAAGGAAAGTTATAAAGCAATGATATAATTTCTTCTTTTAAAAAGGGAAGGAACTGTAATTTTCTTAGAACAGTTTTGTTTGCATTTCTTCTGACTGGTAGGTAAATAACCTTTGAATTGTGTTTGCTTAGACTGTAGAGGTCTATCAAGAGATGAATTCACCTTTGGGGGGGGGAACAAGCAAATAAACTTTAATCTAAGCCGACCCCAGACAAAGTGGAAGCCAGTTTATTTAATTGAAACTAAATCTAGTTGCAGAAAGATAAGACGGTGTGCACAATCATCCATTACATCCATTAGTCCCCACCACCAAATATGTGTTTTATGAATTTGACCAGAAATACCAGACCATCTATTTCTCCAAAGGCTTCCCCTTTTTCCCTCTCTTTAAAAAGTAAAGATATCAGTTCTCTAGAATAGAGCTTAACTTCAGGAAGACCTTTTTACACGTTACTAGAAAGCAGAGATCCAAGTTTAGGACAGCACTAATGGGCAAGAAGGAGGCAAGGGGAAATACAATACAATATCGTGGTTACTTCCCAGCGGCTCGTTATATCGCCTTGTTAATCAAACCCCAAAATGCATGTATTGGGATGAGGGAGGTGGGCGAATCTTAAAAAATAGGGCATGTTTTTCGACAGTTAAAGACAGGTTGATTTGTTACCCTATCTTCCACACCTTGATGTTTCTATTCCCAAGATAAGGAGCTATTACTGGGCTATTACTCACCCCACCTGCCCATCCCACTGCTGATTCTTCTTTGCCAAGTCTTGAATGCATGCAGATTTTTCATTTTTTTAAAAAAAAAGAGAGAGAGAAGCTCACCAGAAAAAAATAAAAAAAATAAAAGGCACCACATTAGGGATTTCAAATGACAGCTCTGAGTGCTCCATTTTGGGCTCTGAAGATGCTAATTTTAGCACAGAGCTGTAAAAGAGGAAGAAAAAAATAGATCTCACAAGAGGGGGAAAGGAACAGCTGGAAATATTTCTCCTGCGCTTGACCAAACTCACTTTTCTTTCTTTCTTTCTTTCTTTCTTTCTTTTTCTTTCTTTCTTTCTTTCTTTCTTTTTCTTTCTTTCTTTCTTTCTTTCTTTCTTTTTTCCTTCCTTCCTTCCTTCCTTCCTTCCTCTCTTTCGCTCTTTCTTTCCCTCTTTCTTTCATTCTCTCTCTCTAAACATCAGCCAAGAACCATGGACAAGTGTGCAGCTCTAGCCGCCCTTGGGCAGGAGGGCCATCTCCCACCCGCCCCGCGTTGGCCTTTGGCAAATTGCAAGTGCTTGGATTTCCAAGCACTGATTCTTACATAGACAGAGAGGAAGGTCATCTAGAAAAGAAAACCTCAAAGAAAAGGCTTCCAGTCCAGGAAGGTCTCCTGGCTGCCTCTTGGTAAGATTGAAAACATCATCCACACTGGCGGTGCGGTGCGCTAACACTGCACTCCTATTGCCCCGAAGGCGACTAGGCCACGCCATCGCTTGTGAGGAAATAGCCTTGCGTTCCCTTCTATCAGCCCTGAACAAGCAAATAAACTAGGTTGCCGTAGCCTAAAGTCCAGAAAGTCCAACTCAGCAGGTTTTCAGACCGTTTCTGAGACCTGCTCTGCCTCTAAAGCCAACCAAGGACAGGTGGATCCCAGCTGACCAAGATTTGGGAAAGCTGTATCTGGTCCACACACATCCTCCTCCTCAATACGCAGTCAGGCGGGGACGGGGAAGAGTGCGTGTCCGCCGCCCCCCCCCCCGTCCCTACAAACTCTGCGGAGCGTCTCCGTGTTGCTGTTAAGTCAAACTATAAGTCAAACTACAGGATACGCTTCGTGCACAATAAACTATGTTTTATTCTGATTATAAATAAGATGATTTAAAATACTTATACTTCCCTAAAAGTACAATTACATAGGAAACCTTTGTAGAAATAGTGGACCTGTTCCTTTTTTTTATTGTTACAAGTTAATAAAAGTTGACTTTTTTTTAAAAAAGGTTCTAATATTCTCCCCTTACCTGTTAGTAGTCCCTTGTTAGCTCTCCCACCCTGAGCATCAACAGTATTTTAAATGCTCCTTTTGGGGATTTCAATTAGTGGATCTGCAAATATTGTCTCTCCTCTATGAATGACGCCACTTGGATTCCCTTGTCTGCTGGTCTTCGCATTATCTTGGACTCCCTTCCCACGCGGCAGAATTAATCGGGAATGTATGAACCAGCGATGGAGCTTTGCTTTTTTACTTTTCCTGAAACAGGGACCTGCTCGTATATCCCGATGAAATGGCAGCGACATTTCCCCCCTGAAATTCAGTGGGCCTTTGGGGGAATTTTTCTGGCGGGACTCAACTCTCTTCTGCATTTTTTTTTACAGAGCAGCAAAAATACCAAAGGCAATAAGGAATGTCGGTGATAATTATAATTTATTAGACGCTTCTTAGGAAATATATTTAAAGCCAAATATATCTACATAAGTAGCAAAGAAGGGAGGGAGGGAGAGACAATGAGGGAGAGACAGTAAGGAAGGAAGGAAGGAAGGAAGGAAGGAAGGGAGAGAGGGAGAGAGGGAGGGAGGGAGGGTGGGAGGGAGGGAGGGAGGGAGGAAGGAAGGAAGGGAGAGAGGGAGGGAGGGACAGTGGGGAAGGAAGAAAGGAAGGAAGGAAGGAGCACCAAGAAAGACTAAACTGCCCCAAATGTCAAGGTTCTGTGGAGATCCATCTTTAAAAAGTGACTTTCCCCCGTAAAAATTAAAAAAGAAAAACAAAAAGCTTTGATTTGTTTGATAGATCCTCGCTCCACATATCGTTTAAAAATCAACAAAATATTCGGGTTGCTAAAAACTATGGGTTTAGCTACAAGTTCGTGAGCTGATGATGTTAAGGCGCCAAAGTGTCGCTGCGTCTCCTTCCCTTTCCCGCGTCCGGGGGGGGGGGGGAGGGCTTCGCGTCTACACAGAGGTGCCGATGTTAACTTTCCGGAAGGAGGGGGAGGAAAGCCCACCCTTCGCCCCCCCAACGTTTGTATATGTACATACAAGGGTCCAGTGGAGCTTCCACGTCAGCCGAGAAGGCCCACGGTCCCGAATGGCTTCCGATGCCCTCAACCTCTCCGGACGACCTTCGTCGGCAGCCCTTGCCAGAGCAGAGTCATTTTTCTTTTTCTTTCTTTCTCCGCCTGAGACCAAAGCCAACGCCCCCGTCCTCTCCTCTCCTCTCCTCTCCGAAACAAACAAACAGACAAACAAACAAGGGGAAAGTCAAGGGAGGGTCTTGAGGGAGGTCCGGGGGGGGCAGGTCTGCTCGTCCGGGGAGGAAAGGGGAAGCGGGCGCCGGCCGAAGGCGGGGCCGGCCGGTCCATTTCACCAGGTCCTGCCATAAAGCAAGGTGGAGCAGGACATGGCCGTCCCGTAGTCCGAGGTGGAGGAGTTCAGGTGCGACAAGGCGGACACCTGGCTCTGCAGGGCGGAGGGGCTGCTGCCCGCGTGCTGGCCCAGGTCTGGCGATTGCCCGGCACTGCTGGCCTGGTGGCTCGGATGTTGTCCCAGGCTGGCCCCGTTGGAGGCCACGGTGATGGCGGTGGCGGCCGCCTGCTGTTGCTGGTGGTGGCCCTGCAGCGCAGTGGAGGGCGCGTTGGAGCCCGCTTGGCACGGCTTGCCGTCTTTGACCAGGACCGGCACGGCCACTCGGCGGGGGGACTGCTGCTGCTGCTGCTGTTGCTGCTGCTGGCAAGAGGCGCCCTCCTGCTGCTGCATCTGCTGCTGGGCCGCCTTGTCCTTGGCCTGGCGCTTCATCTTGTAGCGGTGGTTCTGGAACCAGATCTTGACCTGGGTGGGCGTCAGGTGGATCATGCTGGCCAGGTGCTCCCGCTCCGGCGCCGACAGGTACTTCTGCTGCTTGAAGCGCCTCTCCAGCTCGTACACCTGGGCCTGCGAGAAGAGGACGCGGCGTTTCCGCCGAGGTGCGCTCTGCAGCGGAGCCATGCTCTTGCTCACGTCGCTCAGCGAGCCCAGGCCCCCCATGCCGCCCATGTTCATGCCAGACGAAGGGCCCATGAAGCGGGAGACTGCAAGCGAGAAGAGCCCAGACAGGCAGAGTTAGTCGCCCGCTGGCCAGGCCGGCTGAAAGGTGTTTTGTTTTTTTTTCACCTCCGAATCCAGGAAACCCCCAAGCCTTCCCCCCCACACACACACCCTCCCACCACCCGCCCAAAAAAGGAACCACGCTTGCCGGGTGGCCAGACATTTTCTTTCTTTAAAAAGCCTAAGTGCAGATAACAAGCCAAGAGCAAACCAAACAAGAACGCCCAGGAGTTACTGAAGAACCTGCAGAGAACCGGGTTCTGATATAAGATGGGAGCTTTCCTGTAAAGTTTTAAATCAGATCGCCCAAAATGTGTCCAGGCCCTAAGCATCGCCACTGAAAACCCTGCGAGAAGAAGATCTGGACAGAAGAACAATCCCTATTTTTTTTTTAAGGGGGGGAAGTGCTGATGTAGACACATTTAACGGTTCTGTCCTTCCTTATCCGTTGCTTCCGCGGATGCATTGCCTCCCGGAGACCCGGCTCAGAACCGTAAACGTTACGCTGAGTAATCAAATAGAGCGTTCCTCCCCTGTCCCCTCTACTTACTTATTGCCCCTATTGATTCTGTTCTGAAGTTGGTATAATATCCCCGCTGTAGACAAAGGCCCGGAGGCCCAGTGCATTTCGCAGCATTTCTCTGTGCGCTTCCCACTCCCCAAAACGCCCGGTCTGAACTCCTCCACCGCCCCCGAGTTTACTTTCCCTGCCCATCCTTGATTACGCGGAGGCGCCGCCGATTTCCCTCGGTTTTTCCACCGATTTCTTCCCTTTACAGCGAACTAGCCCGCCTCTCTCCTTCTCCCCTCTCCGGTGGCAATTAATCCTTGGCACTCCGAGGTCTGTCCGTTCCCCCCGCGGCAGCAGAAGTCTGCAAGCGCCCTAAACGAGGCGGCCCAGAAGGGCGCAGAAGAAGGGGAGGTGTGCCGAAGGAGGGGAGGCAACCTGGGCCAATTTTAGGAAAGTGGGGCCAATCTCCCGAGCCCCCCTCTTCGCCGATGGCCGCTCTGACCGCTACCCCACACTGTCCCGCCTGTCCCGCGGCCTGAAGCGGGGAAGGGGTCGGGGGGGGGGAGCCGCGAGCACTTACTTGTAGAGAAGCGGGGATCCGGGTTGGCGCCGTACCATCCAGTGGCGGAAGCGCTGTTCCTCATGGTGTCCTGGTAGGGCGGGAGGTCGCCCATGTTGCCATTGCAATAGCCGCCCATGGCGGCGTGGGACAGCTGGGGGACCCCGGCGGCTGCCATGTGGTACGCGGCGGTGACCGTCCCGTTATGGCCCATGGGGTGCTGCTGCATGGCCGGCTGTGCCACCTGGGATTGCCTGTACGCTGCCAGAGGAGCCCCCAAGTTACTCCCCTCCATGGCCACTTTCTTGTAGCTTTCCTCCAAGGGGCTCAAGATGTCAGACACTGAGAAAGGAGTCGTATGCTTTGGGCTCATCGACATGATTCGGCGGCTGGGGGGAGAGGAGGGGAAAAGAAGGGAAAGGGGAGGCAAAACTCTCTCACTCACTCTCACTCTCTCTCCTTTTCTTTTGCTTTTTTTTTTTTTTTTTGCCAAATATTCTGCTGGGTTGCTTCCACGCCGATCTTGTTGGATGAACACGTAACCGAGTGGACCAAGTCCGCCTTAATTGGATGGAGTGGAGGCTCAGCGCTGCCTTTCGTTTGTTTTAGCCAGACGCCAGGTTTTAGGCTGCCACCAGAGGCGGGGCGTAGGCTCTAAAGCAACAAGACAATAGATCCCCGCATCTTGCCCAAGATAATTAGCGTGCATGCTGATGACAAGGTAAACACCTTTTTAAGTTTTGTTTTTTGTTTTTTTACTTCTCAGGCTTTGCTCTTCGTTTTTCTGTGCTTCTTAAGAAATAGGTTAGTCTTTTCACACACACAAAAAAAATAACAATAAATAAATTTACGCCTTCCCCCTCCCCCAAACGGAACCGATTTTGTTCATTTATTTATTTATTTCCGGGAGGATGGAAGGGGAGGTGGGGGGAGGAAATCTAACCCTTAGACTATCCCCGAGAAGGGATATAAAAAGATCCCAAGGGCTTAACGGGTTCAATTCATATATATATATTTTCTTTGCTTGCTTTCCCCCCCCCAGCACCCCGCCCGTGGTTAAGTCTGGAAAGCAAAGCAGTTCCGATACCAACCTCTCCCTCTACAACACACACCCCCCGCGCGCCACTGCGAGCCCCCCCCCCTCCACGCGCTTCCGCCCTACCAGTCCTCTTCCTCCTCCTCCTCCCTCCGTCTGAACGAGGAAGGTCAGGACTGAAGAACTGNGCCTCCCTTTTTAGAAAGCCCGGACAGAGAGAAAAGAACAGTTCCCGTTCAGACAGCGCCAAGTTGGCCGCAAGGCGGTCCCGGGCCAGACCTTGGACGGCTCCTCCCGGGAGAGGCGCAGGCTTTCCTAGAGCAAACTACTTGCGCCTTTCTCAGGGCTGCGCGGAAGCTTCTCCGTCCGACCCTCGCAAGCGCCTCGGTTCCCCAGCCCGCCCGCCCGCCACTCCGCGCGTTGCCAAATATATGTTCTCTCTCTCTCTCTCTCTCTCTCTCTCCAGACATGCAATCACCTGATCCTATCGCCGCGCGTGTTACTCTCCAACGGGAGGAAGCTGGAAGTTTGCGGGGGAAAAAAAAACGTGTCAAGCAATTGCATGAGAACGGCGGGGCTGCTGGAAAACACGTTAAGGCTAAGAGGCCGTTTGTCCTTTTTTTCCCCCCCACCGGCGCCGGGTCACGCGCTCCTTCGGGCCACCTGGCCAGCTTAAATAAAAGCGGCGTCTCGCCAGACTTAAGAATCCAAGGCGCCAGGCCTGGCCGAGACCCTTAGCTCAACTTCTTTCCCCCCCCACTCCGCCCCCCCTCCCCTCCGCCAGGGGAGAATTATGTCCTTCTTTCCTAAGATTTCGCCAAGTCGAAGTGCGGCCCCCTCGGTGTCCCAGGAAAACCGGGAGTCCAAGTTGGCGGCGCTGTGGCGGAGGTCTTTAATCCAGCCCCGGTCCACCAGCGGGTCAAGGTGCCCTGCTCCGGCGGCAGGACTTAAGAGGCAGAGTCCCGGTCCCGTTGGAGGCCTCGGCGACTCCTCTCTCCCCCCCCCCCACTCCGCCCCTGTCGCGAGTGGGGCAGGCGCGGATAGGGCCGGGCCTTTATTCGTGCCTGGAAGTACCCAAGGCGGCTTGGTTGCCTCGAGTTGCCCGCTGCCGCCGGCGCCGCCGCGCCTCCTTGTTCCAAAGCTATTTCACGATGTGCGCATTTCTCATTCTTCTCCCGGGGAAACGGAGTGGGTGGGAAAAGGGGAAAAGGGGGGGAGGGAAGGGAAGGGAAGGGAGACAGATTTTCTGCATCCACGCCCGGCACGTTAGTGGTACCTAATTTAATAAAGCAATTCTCCGAAACCGGGGGGGGGGGGGAGAGAGAGAGAGAGAGAGAGAGAGAGAGAGAGAGAGAGAGAGAGAGAGAGAGAGAGAGAGAGAGAGAAAGGCAGCTAAGGGGGCAGTTAACCCGACGATTTTAAAGCTTCAACCGTTGAGTAATTGCCGCTGGTAAATCCGTTGGCATGTTGCTGTAACGGGCTCGGGCTTTTCAAAACCGTTTTAAGCAAGCTCGCCTATATAAATAAATACAAATAAATAAATAAGTAAGTAAGTAAGTAAATAAATAAATGCCAAAGGGCACTTTTGCTGCTAACCCGGGAATAACTAAAATATCTTTATGTCTAAAGTGGCTGGGCGTAAATGGCCGGTGGCTTTGTCGCCGACTCCGTACCGGCTCAGAAAGATCTTTTGGCTCCCCATTGGAAAGGCCCTCGTGGAAGAGGCAAGCGAAGAGGAGCGAAGTCGGTGCCCGCCTGAGTGTTCGCCCCCTTCAGAGTAGAAACCGGCGCCTTGATGAGGCTTCGGGGCTGGGCGAGAGGGGAGCTCTGGCGCGCCGATGTACCGGCGGCCACTTCCGAGGCCAGAGCGCCCGAGCGTCGTCTTTCCCCTTGAACCGGACAGCCGCTGGAAACGAGCGCCGTCGAATCAACGGGAGTGACTTCCGAAGTTCGAGGCGCACCCGGGGCTGCTGGGTTAGGCTTAGGGAAGAACCTCTGGGCGCGTGTCGAGAAAGAGGTTTCGCTCAGGGGACGGCATGCGAGTAACAGGGCGTCCCAACCAGGTTCCGTCAACGGTGAGCCCCCCCTTTTTATTTTATTTTTTTTAGCGGGGCTTCCCTCCCTGGAAGTTGGACCTCACAGCCGCGAATGAAGCTTTGCGTCTGTTGCGCCGGCTGGAGTTTTTGGTTTCCTCGCGAGGCAACTTTTACAACTTACTTCTAATCTGACTCTGAATCCAAAGATCTCCGTTAGAAAGCCGACGCTCGGGCGGCGGGAGGGGGGGAGTCGGTATTGTTGTTTTCCAGGGGATAATATTTTGTAAGAATGTATTGGTAGCATCTCTTTTTAATCGAGTGGATTCAAACAATTTAGTCAACCTAAGAAATTAAGAACTTTTGTTTTCCTTTCGGTTATTTCGCAGGTTGGCGATTTCAGGATTGTCTCCTTAAGGCGAATAAAAATTTAAAATCCCCCAAACAAAAACTAATAGGAAGATAATAGAATTGATGCTACTATTATTGGTGATGGACCAGATCTACGTTATAGGCAGAAATTAGGTAGAAAAGTTACTTATATTAATAGCATATTTAATCACTTTAATACCTACTTATACACAGAGATTATACAAGGGTGTCTTCAGCATATGTATCTCAATACAAATAAAAAATATATATTTTTAAATCGTTCTTATTTTATTTCTGTTAAGAACGCAAACATCTTAATGTACTCTAATTGCGTAATCAAAATACAGTAAAATATTAATCATTGCTATAATAATACTCTAATAGTAGGTCAAAGTAATAATACTTAGCAGTAGATATAGTATATATATTAGTTTTCGGTGGGTTTTTGTATTGTTTTATTTATATATAGGAAAAAAGAAAGAAAAAACAAAACCACACCTTTTAATCATACCCAGGTGTTTGTGTTTTTTTGTTTTTTCCCCAAACAAGGCTTTTCAATTTATGCCATATAAGAACAAAGAATTTCCAATGTTTTCAAAACTTTTTTCTTTCCCCTCTGCATTTTCTTTGGAGTATTGATTAGACTGGAGATTTGGTCCTAGAATATGTTCCGTCCGGGTGAATTATTAATACGTTTTTATGAAATTTGAGCCAATTTTACTCTTCCATTTGGATTCACACGTCTACACTGGAATGTACTTATTTTGACTAAAATGACCAAACTATCGCCATCGATCCTCCAAAATCGAGCAGTCTTGCACAGCCATTCAAATATACAGCAGTGGCGGGGACAGAATTATTTTGAATGTTAAAATCACAACCAAGGAGATGAGTTTCATCCTAATCAATCAAGCTGATCTCCAAATCAAGTCAGGCAAAAGTGTTTGAATTTCATTCTGTAGACAGGCTCGTATTTTCAATTAGTTGCAATAGTGCTTACTTGTAAGTGCTTTGATTGGAAGAGAATTTGATTTCCAGCTAAGAGAGCCTAGACTTTTCAGCAAAAGCCTATTGATTTCCCTTGATGGGAACATGCACGTCGCGAGGTCACTCCAGCTGCCTTTCCTTGGGGCAGCCCGTATCGTGGCTTCAGCAAAGTACACCAACTGCTCTCACTGCGAGAAGGGCGGGCGTCTCGGGTGGAATTAACTTCCACGGAAAGGAGTCTGGGGATGTACGTTGCTTCTAGGAGGTGATTTTGAGTAATAAGCCGGTCTCCTTCGGGGTCCTCCGCCCGATCTCCCAATTCAGCCAGCCAGATTGTGCCCTTCGGAAGGAAGGCATACATAAAGCAAGCGGGTGTTTACAAAGTTGAAGACTGACTGGATCTACCTGCGCATCTCCTGCGAAACCCAGGGCTGGCTTCAGCTGCCCCGACTGTCTACGTACGGGTTGGGTTGGTGTTGGCTATGAAGGATGCGAAGAAGCAGGGTGAAAAGAGGCGCAAGAGGTGGAACAAGAAGGGAAGAAGAGCTGAGGGGCGAAGGGCGCGTTTGGCCTGCTTCAAAGGCGCCCACCTCCCCGGACGCCCGCCCCAGGCTCTGCCTTTGAGAACAGGTTGGATCTGCCTCCCAGAGCCTCCAGGGCCAGCTCTTCAAGAGCCCCGGGTGCCCAAACTCAGCTCCGACCGGTGCCTCACCCAAGCCTGAAGCACGCAGGAAGAAGAAGGCAAGCACCCTCTAGCCGTTGCCTTCCAAGCCCCGCCGGCCCGACGCGCCAGGTGCGATCCACTTCTCTGCATTTGGGGCAATTCCTTCGAAAGAAAGAAAGAAAGAAAGAAAGAAAGAAAGAAAGAAAGAAAGAAAGAAAGAAAGAAAGAGGACGCTTGAACTATTCCCCCCCCCCCATCCCCTAAAACTTAGCGGGGAACGGCCACTTCGG